AATCCTGCCGACTAAATATGTCAAAATAATAGCCTGTATCACAACAAATCAGAAAGAAAGGATTCAACGCCACTAATTTTTTAAAATCTGAAATTCATGACAATGCTAGAATTAAAATTTATTTTATCGAAAACTAGTGGATGGAGAAAAGAAAAACACGCAAATGGCTTGTATATACTGCCAAGAAGGGTAGTGTTTACTGCAAATCTTCCTTCATTTTTAGGAAAACTAGTTCTTTAGAGAACAAAGATGTATTTTACAACTGTAAAGTTTTCATAAGGCAATTAGTGAGCATAAGCAATCTTCTAAACATAATAATGCTACCTCAAATAAATTTTAATCAAAGTGAATGCAGAATTAATTGCAAGTTTGTAAAAGAGGGGTATATGTCGCTAAATTTCTTTCTTCCATGTAAAGTTAAATAATACTTAAATTTTTGAATTATTTATCATTTTAACCTAATATTATATACATATTTATGTAGGCCTAATAACAAAACCTAATGAGTTAATTTTTTACGCATGACACTTAAGTATGTTTGCATTTTGCGGATCAGACCAGAAAATTGAATCATGTGAAAATGGAAATTTTCTCAACTCATCAGAGTTACTAGCTGAATACAACCCGTTTTAAGCTAAACATATAAACACTCAAGTAAACCATGGTAAAGTTAACACCTACTATCTATTAGCTAACATTTGTGAAGAGTTTATCAACCAAATTGGCAATTTACTTTTATAAATTATTGGTAATTATAGATCGCTTTTATATTTATGATTAATATACTTTGAAACTATTTTAAAAAGAGCACTTGAAAAGTTTGAAATAGCATTTTTTTGTCAAAATTTTTCGCCTACATTTATTAAACTTCAAGCAGCCAAATAATATTCAATCATCGTTGATTCAACCACAGACGTTTCGCACGTAGATTAACTAACTTTTGTTGTTCATTATGTAATGCCTGATGGAAAACCAGTTGAAATTTTTTATCATTCATTCCAATTAGAGATCTTGGAGCAACTAATATGTTTAGTCTTGTCTAAAAGACACTGGAGATGCACGAATCAACATTAGTGATTACGATGAGTAGTCGTATGATAATGCTTCAAATATCTATGGGGTCTACACTGGATTCAAACTCCATTTTAAGGACTTAAAACCACAAGATAATCATGTTTCTTGCGCCAGCCATTTTTTGAATCTGATTGGTGTTATAACAGTTGAGTCTTCTGTGACAACTACTTCTTTCTTGAGCTTCTTTCAACAGTTAGATAACTTTCTTTTCATTTCAACGCATCGCTTGGAAGTCTTGATATCAAAACTGGAAAATAGTCTAAAGGTTCCTAAAAGTCTCTCACAGACTAGATGGTTTGGATGTGCAGATGCATATTCTGCTTTTCAAACGGGTTTTTATTAGTTACAAAGTATAATTATCAGAATCAGTTTTTTAAAGTTCTCAGTTAAACAGCTTATATATTTGAAATGTGCGTATAAACTTTAAAGTAGTATTAAAAGATTTAAACAATTACTTTGCACGCCCCAGAGCTTTTAAAAAATCACAAAAACAATGCCGACATTTAATTTCTAAATAAGTGTCTACATTTCGAGAACTTTGTTTCCACTTTAATTGATATTGGTGCCAGTGACCAAAAAAACTTTTATCACATTTTCTAATATGAATGTTGTTTTTAGGATGTTTTTTTCTGCTGCTGTTACAAATTGTTTAAGTCGAAAACAAAGATCTGATTTGTTTATCCTTTGGATTACCTTGTAATAATTACTTTAACTACTTATTGGTTTTTGGTCTTCTGCTGTAATTTATTATGTAAGGCATATAAAAAAAAAACGTGTTTGCGTACATATTTTAGTGTGTATTGGAGAAGGAAAGGCCGGAGAGGCCACAATTGTTATTTCACTGGGGGGACAGGGTAACTCAAAGACGGGCCTGCATGTCTTAAATATGATATTTTCTGATGATTAACAAATGTTTTGAATTTCGCACATGGGAATTTATCAAGTTCTCTTTTTTTTCAAACAAAATACGTTTACACACTGGTAAGATAGTCTTTCTGCTTTGGCAAAACAAGAACAAGAATTCAAAAAAAAAAAAAAAGAATTTAAAAGTTGTACCAAACATTACAAACTTACTGCGTTTAATTCTAGTGAACATAGATGCAATAAAAAAAAAAAGAAAACTTTGGAAATTGTTCTGAGTGCAATAAAAAAAAACTATGCAATAAAAAAGAAGAAAACTTTGGAAATTGTTCTGAATAAAGTTGAGACTGTTTTCAAATTTAGAACAATGTTAATTATTTCTTATCTGATTTTTTTCTGAAATTCATATTTGATTACTCAAACTAAATCAAAGCAATTAGATACTTAAGACCTGTTATATAATAAACAAAACTCCACAAGTTTCATGTTTACTCATGAAAAGTCGCTTATTTCAAAAGTTCAAACGTTATCTAAAAGTTATTGTATAATTCAAATATTACATATATACAGTGGTGACCAAAAGTCTTGGAACAAATCTTGGAAGAAGTCTTGGAAAAGTCTTGGAAGAGATCAGGCAGGCCCAGAGCAACCACCTCAAGAACTGACAAATTTATTGGCCGAAACAGCTATGCAAATCCACGGCTATCTGCACACGAGATTTCAAAATAAATTTTTATAAAGTGACCGAACAGTTAGAAGAAGGTTTTTGGTTGATTTCAAAATGAAGGCATGCAAGCCAGCAAAAAAATCTTTTTTATCATTAAACAACCTAAAAGATCGAAAAACATTTTGTCAGCGCTACAAAAATTGGACTGGAGAAAATTGGTCAAAAGTTCTTTTTTCTGATGAAACATGTATTAAACAAATTAATGTTACAAACAACTTTGTAAGAAGACCAAAAAACTGTAGATATATGCCAAAATATACAGTTAGCAGTGTCAAGGCTCCTGTGTCTTGTATGGTTTGGGGTGCTATTTCTGCCAAAGGACGTGGGCCATTATGGATAATGCCCAAGAATACCACAATAACTGTAAAGTCTATTTGGATGTTATGAAGGAGAAGTTGCCACCTTTCATGCAGATCTTGAACTGCACTTATTTCCAACAGGATGGTGCACCATGCCACACAGCCAAAATTGTAAAGAAGTGGTTTGCTGATGAAGGATTTCATCCAGCAAACCACCAGATCTTAATGTTATTAAAAATTGTTGGCATATTATGAAAGTAAAAGTTGCTGCCAAAAAGCCTAGATCCTATAATGATTTAGTTGTAGCAATCAAATCAGTGTGGATCCATGAAATTACACCAGACTATTATACGAAACTTGTTAACAGCATGCCAAAACGTATCCAAATGGTAATTGACAATAACTATGCTTCCATTAAATATTGAACTTTTATCATGTATGTGCATGTACCTATCATCTTTAAAATTGTTATAAACACTTATTTTATTTAAAAAAATAAAAAAATTTACTAATAAATTGTTTTTCACACAAATAAATTGATTTCAAAAAATAAAATTTGATGTTCCAGGACTTTTGGCAACCACTGTATATATATATATATATATATATATATATATATATATATATATATATATATATATATATATATATATATATATATATATATATATATATATATATATATATATATATATATATATATATATTATGGTTTATCCTGAATGCGGTTTCCAACAACTAAATGCGAATTCCAATAACTAAATCAGTGAGCTCAGAGTCTGTTTCCACAAACCCCTGTGCATTTTCTTTAAAACAAATTCATTTTCAGGCTTTAATTCAATTTGTTTAAATATGATTGCTAAAAATATAACCTAAACCAATGAAAGTATGCTGCATATTAACTTCAGATTATATGCAACATATTGATGGTTTAAAGCATAAAAGACACTTGTCCAAATTTGACGATTTGAAAAAAACAGCATTTTTAAAATTTGAGGTCAGCAAAATTGTAACATTTTTTTGTTTTTAATGTCATTAATTATTCATTATTATTAATATTCATGAGCAAAATGTCAAGAGTCTTTTTCGTGTGTTTTTTGTGCTTTAATACATCGATATGTTCCATTATGCTTTGAAATAGCCCACACCTAAATACAATTAGTACACCTAATAATTCTGTTGCTGTATTTATAGATTGTTTTTTTTGTAGATCCTGTGCAATAGGAATAAGGGATAAGACATGTTGACGGTACATCCTCATTTAAAATAATTTAAAATGAAAAATTGGTTTTTTGAATAAAAACTACGATCACCAAGTGATGATCTAATTTCATTTATCTTGGTTAAAGCCATGGCTAGTGTGGCTATACTGAGTTATTTGCAGTTTGCTACTGTTTTTTTTTCTTGTTTATTTTTTTTGTGTGTGTGAAATTTTAAAGAACTGTGGTATATCTATAAGGCTTTTTCTAATTTGTGTTATAATATATTATCCTGTACTCAATACTACACCGGGTAAATCTTTAACTTTATTTTATATTCCGGAACTCCAATACATACAATATGTCCTTTTCGCTAAGTTATACCAATTCTTTGAGATATTTCGTTTATATTGGATTTGAATGTAGCTATTTTGAGGTAAACGATGTCTTTTAAATGGTTTCTTATTTTGTACTTTGAAGTGTATTTATCGAAAAATGATGAAGAAAACCATAACTATTTTATATATATAAAAAATTATAATGGCTATTAATTAATAGAAGTCGCTATAAATAGAGTATGATCTGTAACAAATAGGAGTCTAATAACTACTTAAAATAGGGAAAGTTTCCCAAACATAGTTTGAAGTTTCCAAACAAAGCAGCCCTTATGAATATTTTTCCGCACTAAAGTTTTGACTAGTTTCAGACTCCCGGATATGAAATTGGCAAGTTAAACTCCCCCATTACTACTTTTACATTTCTAGATAACTCAAACTAGACGGCGTAAATTTAATTAGCACAGCGAAGAAGACAGCAATTCTCAGAATGTTGTAGAATATTGCCAATCTTTCTGGATGTTTCTTAAAACAGCAAAAAACTTATTGACGTTATTAGAAAAAAGATATAAATTTCAACATGAGTTTTTTGATTACAATAAAACGCAACCAAGCAGATTAGCATTGTTCGAGAAGAGAGATTTATACTGACTAGGTAAGAACTATTATGCAGCTTTGTGTTATTATCATTATTTTGTTTTTTTACATAGTTTTCGCGGAACTTAACACTTTTTTCCAAGGAATTTAAGTTATTAATATTTTTATTTTAATATTGATTACTTCTGGAACGCATCTACTGTTAATCTTGTATATATTAGTATCTATGAACATATTAAAGTTTCTTTACTTTTTTATTTAGAGAAAAAAATGTCTTTGTGGCACATTCCTGTTCACAAATATTTTTCTTCCGATCCATTTTTGGAAGATATAATGGAAATTACGTTTCCTCCCCTAAGATATTATCCATTATTTAATGTTGGAACGGGCGCTCTTGCGAAAAAGACTAACAAAGAAAACGGATTCGTTGTAAATCTTAATGTCAAACACTACAAGCCAGAGGAAGTTACTCTGAAAGTAGAAGGTATTTAAATCTAAAACGTTTTAATATAAATGTGATAAAGTTACAATGTTATTTCATAATTTATCTTGATTTAACTTGAGAGCGTCGTTAAAGAAATATAACGCAACAGTTTTGACTGTTGCAATCGAAAGAAAGAAATATTAAAGTTTGCACGTTATACTTATGCAATGGCGTCATAAACGAAAAATATTGTGTTTTCCCTTTTTTCTTTTATAGTCCATCTCATTATTGTTGACTCTTGTTTTTATCTTCACTTTCCTTGTGTTGGTCTTAATTACTCGTAATTTAAAATTTGGAGACAAACTTTTGTAATACGGTCTAAAGTGCGTTTATAGTTTCGCTAACTCTAGATAATTTTTATTTCTTGTTGTTTAGGACAAACTCTTGAAGTAAGTGGAAAACATCGTAATGAAAATGAAAATGGATTTGAGTGCAGTGAATTCCATCGAAAGTATACTATTCCAGATGACGTAGATTCTACAGCACTTACTTCAAACATCAGTCAAGATGGTGTTTTGCATATAGAAGCTCCCAAAAAGCTACCTTTAACGTCTGATTCTGGAGAATCAACAAAAGAGACATTTAAATGCACTTTAGATGTGAAAGGTTTTAAACCAGAAGAAATTTCGATTCAAGTAAAAGGTAGAGATTTAATTGTTCACGGTGAAACCAAAACTGAAAATAGTGGCGAGCATGGTTTGAGTTTTCACCACAAACAGTTTACCAAAAATATCTCTTTACCAGATGATGTCGATCCTTCCCAATTAAGTTCTCGCTATACTAAAGACTTTAAGTTGGCAATAGAAGCCCCGCGAAGTCAAGTTCAGGCTCCACTCAAACTTGAAATCAAAATGGAAGAATAAACTTTCTCGAATCATTACATAAAAAGATTTTATAAATTAGTTGTGTAGTTATATTCTTTTTACATATTTTTACATTTCAATAGATGCTGTAAATTATTTGTAAATTATTAAAATAAATACTGTAAATTGTTATCTTATTTCTTTTACTTCACGCGTATTGCAGTTACTCGGACATATAAAATAGGTGCTAGAATGTATGCTATAGTATATACGCCTATGTACAGGGCATATAAAGCATTGTCTAGAGTATATACTAAATGTATAATTAATAGAATATAAGCTAAAATATTGACTCGAGTATACGGAATGTATCTAGGGTTAGATTAAAGCCAAACAAAAAAAATTTTCCGACTTTTTTCTTCCACAAAAATGTAGCAAACTAGTTAAAAGTGTAGTTTAAAAAGTAACAAATCCGTATTCGAGTTTGCCAAAAAGAAGGAAAATGATCAGATTTTTGCAACCGTATTTTTACTGTGAATATTTTGATTCTTATTGTGAATACATCAACCGTAAATACAATATTTAGAGAACCAGCTGTTTATAGAACATGAAAAAGTTTAAAACAAAGAACAGCCTGTTGGTTTCGCAGCATCTGTCTAATCTATTAAAATCCCCTTTGAAAAATTTCTGGAAATTTATTTGTTATACTTCTTGGCTTTGTGGTATATATATTTTTTGTAACTAACAAGAGCAGCGATTATCGATTGTGTATTGGATTTTTTCCGGATAGTGTTGTCCGGACTTTAATAGTACATAGGTATTTTATGTAAATATGTAGGCCAACCACTTAAAAAGTTAGTATCATTTGTAAAATATAGTGTTTTAGACAGTTTAGTCCTATTTCAATCGTCTTTATTGAAAATAAAAAGTTGTAATTCATTTAGTTCGCTCTATTGTATCAGTTTTAATTTTGGGTAAAAGTATTTATTAATGATAGAATAAGATTTTTTCTAAATGGAGTTTAAAATATTTTTATCTTACTAAAATATAAACGCAATTACTAAACAATATTTAGTAATTGCGTTCATATTTATAAAATTATAAACGCAATCGCTAAATATAATTTATTTAGTAATCACGTTTATAATAGCACTAACCAATCACAAGTGCAAAAGTTCTATGTTGCAATTGTTACATTTTACAAGACAACCTCAATCCTACAAAATGTAATAACAACATCCAGTGGAGTAGATAGGATTCATACTTTAGATATGACACTTTAAGACATCGTACAAACTCTAAATTTATGAATGTTTATAGTTTTGTCAATTGAGAAGATTTTTCAAAAGTATTTTGGTGATTTGAGCTTGGGAGCTAAAATACTCCAATTTCTTTACACAATTTTTGAAACTTACTTTAAAGAAATGCATCATTATGCTCTATAAACAACTTTGCTTTATTAAAATCTTATTCAAAAGTGAGTTCTTATTAAAATCAGAATCGTTGACCAATTTTGTGTCAAAGTTTTCTAAACATTGTTTTCATGAAAAAAATTTTTCTTAATCACTTTAAAATTGAATCAAAACACTGTTTTACTTCACACATCTTTTTTCATACAGGCTTTAAGTTCTTTTTTTTTTTAAATAGGTTAATAAAGCTAAATCATATAAAACACTAAAACTAACTAAAAAACAATGTTTTTAATCTTTTTTAGCAAAATTAAGATTCTTTATATTTTAGGTTTATGAATAATAATGGTTAGAATTATTAGTACGTTCATCTCATCGTAGAATACGAAGTCATTTTTCATAACGAAGAATGTTAAGTTTTTGTGGCGGTTATGATATTTTGGAGTTTTTTCAAAAAAAGATTTTATTAGTGTAGTCTAGGTGCCAGAATATCTGATTTTTTCGAAAAATCCAAACCTCTTTTATTAGATCACTTAATTCGTTTTTTGTAATCCTCAGAAATAAAATCAGGTCCTTGCGATGTTAAAAGTTTAGGTGAGTTAGCTCTAGCATATTGTTTTTATCAAATTCCTGAGAATAGTGTGTCGGTAGATCAGGAATGTGGAGTTCTTTTCCGTGAGTTACTTGGCAAATCGCATATGGTTTGTTCGGATAGTTAACCGTCTAATCTGTTATTTTCGGATAACCCATGTGATAGGGACAACTGCATAAAAATTAGCAGTCAGTGGCACGATTGTTGGCTCTCTCTTAATACTGTAGGAATTGCAATAGACATAGACATAGAACGACCGATTTAATCGATCTAAATCTGGAGGTTTTTATTGAAAATTGTTTCTTGACAGTTTTCCGTTTGTGGCTCAATGCTAGCTCGGTTTCGTTTGCAAAAGATCTAAAAGTTGCAGAATATTTCACAAAAGAAACTTCAATCTTTAATGGAAGTAAACATGAAAATGGTTAAGTTATGAATAAAAGCAATAACAAACAACAAGAAAAATTACAAGGAATACGTAAAAACTAATACAGGTAAAAGACAGGAAATTAAAGAAACTTATTTTTAAGACTTTCTAGATGAACACTGCTTTGTTTATTTGGGATATTCAAAAAGAAGGCAATAATACTGATAAAAACATACAGCTAAGTTTGAAGGAGGTTAAGCAGCAATATGAATTTAATGAATTTGATGATAGGTACAATTTTTATATTGAATAGCATGTTGGCGTGCTATTCTATATAAAAGTGTTATTCCGCAAAGCTTGTTTTTTTCAAATTCGTAATAGGAATAGTTAAATAAATTCCATTCGGCCATACAAATACCAAACCAGAAGGTTCTAAATAAACATTTTGAATAAAAAAATTGCGATTCTGTTACTAGATCCTAGATTTCTTATTCAAAATGTCAAGGTCGCATTTATTGTTTTGTGTAAAACATTTTATTAAAAATGTTTAATTTCTCGCATTGGAGGGGTATTCTGATGGAAGAATATTTTGAAAAAAGTTTTATAGTTCTTAAGGGTATATCAAAGCTATGTTAACTTGCTAAGCCATTTTTATTTTCTTTCCGTGTAACCCATACATGGAAATAAAACAAAAATACTTTAGACAAATAGTTGGGAGAGGAAATCACAAACAACATAAATTATTGTTATGAAATATTGAAAAGAGTAGTTGCAGTTTTAAAATTTTAATGTGAAAGAGGCTTGCCACTTAGTGGTTATAATAAATAATGGGACTAATTAAACAATTTAAACTTTAATCAACTTGATCGCGAAATTCGATCCATTTTCGAAATTCGAAATTCGATCCATTTTTTAAAAAAAGCACTTAGTTATGTGTTAAACCGAAAAAACTAAAACAACATATTTACTTTTTTAAAAAAATATTAATAATATTTAATACGATCAGAAAGTATAATGGACTGCAGGCACTTTTAAAAAATATCAATAAATATGCAGAATTTATGCCCTGTGTATCACATTTTCTTAATTTAGTCGGAGTTGAAGCAGCTTACATGAGACCTGATTTTATTAACTATTTGGTATTGTGCAACAACTATATGTATGTTTTTGGCCGCGTGAATAAAAAGAATCAATAGCTTTTACTCAGCCTTTCTGGAGTAAATTTCTCGACTTTACGTGAATAAAATTTTGAGCAATTTTGTTCAAACTTTTGTTCACGTAAAGCAGAATAATTACTCTGAAAACGATTTACTCAGAATAAAAAACGAATTACTCAGAATAATTACGCTGAGTAAAAGCAATTACCGTTTCTTATTCATCCGGCTATGTAAAAAAAATATTATAAAAAAAAATTTGTGTAGAACTTCCATAGCAGTTCTATAGGATTATATTTTAATAATAACATCATTGCTATGAATGGATTTATTTTCATTATTTTCTCATATTTTCCTGTAAACGGGAACTTATATTCGATATTTTATATTTTCTTTGGACAATGGAGGAAAATGTTGTGATAAAAGAATATTCTTAGGTCGAATTGCTAAACTGGGTGATAGAGCGACTCGGTCCGCAACAACGCAACTCTGCTACATGCGGACTAGAGTACGTCATACTAAAAAATTTTTGAAAATTACTTTTGGGGAGTGATTATGGGTTGAGCTAAGCTAAACAATATTCAAACAAAAAATTTTTTTTTTTTTTTTTGTGTAAAAATTGACTTGAAAAATGTAAAAAAGCGCTAAAAAATGTATTTCTACGACAAAAAATTAACAAAACTTAACTAACGTATATTAAAATTTTAACTATCCAGTTTTTAACAAGTCCATTTGTAGTTGTAATCTATAAATTATAGAACACAGTTACTTTGTACTTGTTATTTGCTTTGAGTTAGTATTAAATTTAATTGTGTATATTTCAATATTAAAGGTTTGCAATATTTGTTGATTTTACTTGATTTTACAATATTTGGTGATTTTTTATTATAATTGTTTTTGTTTTACAGAAAAAAAAAAAATAATAGAATATTGTGTTATTGAGAGTTTAAAATTGACTATACATTCTTCTACAACTAATTTAACTAAGTATCTTGGAGTATGAAAGATTGGTTGGAAACAGAAGCTCCTACACTGAGAGATGTACTAAGGAAAGGTCTACTTATTCAGAAAAGTTTGCTTCTTTCTGATGATCTTGATAGGTGAGTTTTTTGAAATAATATTTTAAAATGAATTTCTAATAAACTTTTAGTAGGCACAAGTCGTCCAATAACATCCATAGAACATCCATCTGGACACCCACTGGGTATCTTAGGACATTTAAAGGACGTCCAAGTATTAGTTCAAGTTCAAGTATTTCAAACAATGTTGAAACAGTTTAAATTTTATATTTTTTGTAGGAGATGTCACCTACCTGTAAAAGAAATCTCGGTGGTATTGGCAGACTTGGTATTGAAACAATGGTCTCAATCCAACGCTTTGTTTAAGACCTTAACGCTTTGTTTAAGACCCCAGCGTTTTTTGAGATATGACAACGCTTTGTTGTCATATCTCAAAAAACGCTGTCAGATAAAATTTTAAATGCCTGGCATAAGTTTAGAGACATTTCTAATCAAAAAGAAACAAAAGAAAAACTGTCAAATTGTGGGAAGGTAAGCTGGACAAATTGTTAGATATAACAAAATGTAGGTGTAACATATTACTTTGTACAGATGAAAATTCTCCTTGTATACAAGGAGAACTTTTAACCTCCTTATAAGAATTTTTAA